TTTTTTTTTTTTTTTTTTTAAATAGGAGCTATTTACAACTTATTTGTACAAATACAGTTATGAAATGTTTTGGTTTAAAAATACGTTAAATAATTATAGAAAACGTTTCGAATTTGTCGGTTTGTTGAAACTTTCGTTCGTATGAATAAATCAAATGTTTTCTCAAAGATTTAATTCAAATAGTTGTTGGCGTTTAAAATATTTTCTTAAAACATTTTTGCCAATCAGACTAGAAATTAGATTGAATATTCGCTCAACAATATATTACAACACATCATTTTAAAAAATCTTTCATATTCAATAATTAAAGTTTATCATCGCAGCATTTTATATTAAAGTCACAAAACAAATTGTGTGTTTATTATTAATGATTTTTTTTTTATCGGTACCTTTTATTCAGCTCGTAAGTATACACGTATATCCTGCATTGTTGTTAGAACCAATTTAAACCCTACCAGGTTCATTCGGCCCCTTTTTTATTACTCTTACTGCTACAATGTATTTGACAGACACGGTTTGTACAATGTATATAAAACTAGATTGTTTTCATTATCCCAAATACAGCAACCCTTTTTTTTAATATAATTTTAACGGAGGTAGTAAATTTCTGCGTTGATCATTATACGTTACGCTGACTAGGTTTCATCAAAATACTGCTCTCTATAATTCCATGAATACATTTTCAGTAATACAATGAATAATAATTATTAATTTTCACAACACTATTAAAATAACTGTTTAATTTAGATTTTGTTTTCAATGCATATTTCAAAAAATATAACTATTTTGTAATTTAAATTTTAAAAAGTAATCTAAACGTCTCCACCTAGTTACAAAATGTCAACATAATTATAACAACAAACGCATTGTAACACATACTTATTATTATGATTGATATGACATAAATATAATACCTATAACACTTCTTTGGGAATTTTCAGCATAAATCTTGCAAGTAACCTACAAGTTATTTTTCAATATTCATTAACTAATTTTAAATGTATGCACATCACGAGCATACAAGTTTTTAAATTACTTCAGCTCAAAATTGGACACTTTACGGACAAAATAATTTATATTCTACATGTAACATTGCCAGGAATGCTTATACGGCTATCTAAAAAAATCTAGTTTTACACTAAGTGCCACCTATATATGTAACTACAGGTGAAAAGTTTTTACAAAATTAACTTTATGTTTAAATTTATCTTCACACAATTAATTTCAAACCCATCGAAGTATTAAATATACTTTCATTTCGACTTGTGTAGTGTAAAATTATTTAGTTTTTGTTATAATTTTATCTTTGTTTTCTAGTAAAATAATTAAAGTATATTAATGCATTTATTTTTATATCAAATCATGTACCACTAACCGATCAAATGGAATATTTATTTTTAAACTTTAACTCAATCATATAAAATCAGGATTGATATTAGATTTTTAACAAAAAAAAAAAACAGTCGTTAGTTAAAAAATGTAGAATATTAAGATGCATGTAAAGATGTATTAATAATAATATTCAATAAAAATTTTTGTTCAATGTGGCTTGTTGTATAATAACTATATATATATATATATCATTATTATTCCGTAGTTAAAATTCTGTATGATTGCAAAATAAGTAAAAAACTCATAAATTATCAGATTGTTTTTTATGACTATTAATTATCTTTGAAAAAATAATTTTCTTTTCTGTGTAATTTAAAGGAAACATCTATTCGGCAAAAAAGGTCACATTGAAACAAAAGCCACAATGAGACAAATGAGGTTTGAACCCTTTATCTAAATTACTGCAGTTTTTAACTGTCTAACTCTGTAATGGAAGTATTTATCAAGAGTTATTTAAAAATGTAATTTTTAAAAATATTAACCACAAGTGATCAATTTTTATTAGATGAGTATTTAATTATTTAACGAATGCAAATATGAGAATAGTGGCAGTTTTCAACAGCATTGTTTAATAAGTGAAAAATAGATATAATAAATTCACTTTTTTGTTTTTGTAAATTAAAATATTAGTCACGCGTTAGAATTAATTATTTTATTTAAAACGTATAAATAGACATTTTGGTATGCTATATGCTATTTATTATGACGTATATTTTTTACGCTCTTAACTTAATAACACCATAAGGGGCACATTTAGACACAAATTATACATAAAGACATGAATGATAAATTAAAATATCCAACGCCTGTATGATTTCCTTTATTAAAAAAAAATTATTTTTACGATAAAAGTCTGTAAATATAAAACTATCTATCAATTGACAAGAAAAAATCGTTTTTTATATAAGCAAACTGGGTTACAAATGAAAATGAGTCTTACTATGTCCATAAAAAATGTTATCAGATTTAAGTGCGTCAATATCAGTAAATGATAACGACTGTCGAATGTTAAGTAATTTTTTTTTTTTTAGTACAGAAAATCTACTTCGTCGTGATAAGCTTGATAATGCACGTGCAAATGGATGTTATGACGCAAGTTGGAAAAAATGATCTTATTTACGTGGCATTTTAAAGCGAAACCCTAAAAAAGTATTGAGGTCGGCAGTCGAGTAAAAAAAACCTTAAGATGAATTGCTAGAACAGACGCCACTTTATCGTTCTAAAAATGTCTTAAATTAAAAAAATCAACCTAATTAACCAATTTACGTCTATCACGCCTACGTTCGCATGTCAATGATTGCGTGTTACATACTGAACATTAAAACACCACACAAAGACTATATATATTTAGTAAGTTTCAATTCGGTTATTATTGTTATGCGCGTGGGTATCGTTGAAATTTTAATTTATGCTATAGGTTTTATTTGATTTGTCTGAATGAACTTTGTCGAGTTTCATTATTTAGGTGTTTTCTTATCTATTGAAATATAAAATGTTCTTACCGTTGCGATAAATTTGACATCAAATACAGAAAATGGTGGAAATCTGAATAATTTCCATGTACACAAATCCTATGTGCATTATTCAATGGCGTACATAGATTTCACTATTAATGTTGCGAGCAACAAAATAATGTCAACTACTTCGTAATATATCTGGTACTCCAAACGCGAGGCTTAATCATGTCAAAAATATAAACTTTTTATCAAATCTTCTATGCAAGGTTAAGTAGTTATTACTTTTTAATGGCGAAACTTCGCAAAGAACTCAAATGAGCTATCAATAAAAGTTATGATCAGATAACATTATACTACATTATCTTTGGACAGTTATTACTCACTGATTAATAATTATATTTATAATTAATATTAAAATCACAACTTAAAAATGTTATTTGTCTGTATATTAATTTTTGACAATCAGTTAATCATATATATCATATAGACGTTAAATAAAGAGATGTTTAGAATATTTTTTCAAAGATCGATCATTAATGTAAAAAGAGTAATCTTGTATTTCCAATAAATAAAACTATCTATTTAAATAGTGTTTAATATAAAATTTATGATACACAGCTTTAACGCAATAATAGATTATTTAGTTGAGAACAGTTTCCTCTGAGAATAAATTGGTTGACATTAAAAAAAAAATAGGTGAATTCAACTTCAAAGTTCGTTGGCCAACATCTAATATATAATTAATACTATTGATACGAGGTTTTTATGTACAAGTATTCTTTCAAATGCTTTCTTTTTCTTTTTCCTCGCCTTTTTTGGAATCAGCTTTCCTTATCTTAAAATTCCACTTGACACGACCTTCCACATCATCTACACTCACATCAGTAGTCTTCATATCGCATTCAATGTCATGCCCCCATCTCTTTTTTTGGTCTTTCTCTACCTTTTCTTCCTTCAACATTCATTTCTATAACTGTTCTTACAGCTTCCGATTCTTCTCTCCTCATAACATGACCAAACCATCTAAGACTATTTTCTCTCACCTTATCCACGATTCACGCTACATCTATACTCTCTCTGATATTATCTTTAAATGTTCTGTCAAATGTATATAATTATTTTATCCTCAAGTTAACTCCTATGCGACATACAATTATTTAATTGTAAATGGACATTGTATTTAAAAAATCAAATTGGAATGAAGTTAAACTACCTACACAACTTACTACACAGTAATGGAAAATTTTAAGTTAAATAATGAAAGGAGTAATCAGTTGCACATGGAAGTTTAGTTCCATAAAGTTAATTTTTAGAGTTTAGCTAACAATCGCAGAGAAGTGATGTTAATCATTTTGCACTCGGTGGAAGAATCTGATTGAACGGATATCTTAACGTCGAGTAGGTAAATCTTTCCAGTTTTAAATTACTAATGTTAAAAGGGTCGAAATCTAGGGATTGGCATTATGTTGGTGGAACGCTATTACTTGGAGATACTTATGTCTGAACGGAAATTTATCTATTTCTATCTGAACGCCCAAAACAATTTTGTATAATTCGATGTGTGTCTTCGGGAAAAATATACGAGGGCAAATTTTTCTTGATATATTCCTTCGACGAAAAAGTCTTAACTATAGTTTTATAAATACTTAATACTCTAAGTAATATATTTTTCTAGTTTTTATCATAAGTCGCACTTAAAATAAACCTGAAGTCCAAAAGTAGTTATCATAACTCGTGTCTCATATTTTAGAGATGTATACCTAAGACTAATTTCAGTACTAAAAAATAATAACGATAAGTAATTTAATTTTAACGTATAAAATTTATTATTTAGTCGATTCAAAAAAGAACATTTGATATTTAAATAAATATTCGTTTCTTTGATGGATTTTTTTATATCAATTAAATAACTTATAATTAAAAATTATAAGAATCTTTACCCGGAGATTAATAATCAAAAGTAAAACAATTTCCTAATTAAATAAATTAGTGATGAAAAATAATATTTCGGTATTAAAATTTGTTAATTAAAAACTCGATATCAAACAAGATGTGGCAAAACAGTACTGAGTTATAATATTACTTTGAGTAAAATTATTCAAATTTTCTTTCGACAAATTCACTGATAAAAATTTCAATCTCAACACTGTTTGACATTCAATAATAATGAAAATAAATATTCATAATAAAAATTTAATTTTTACAGACAAGCCATTTATGAAACTTTCTTGTATTTTGCTACAATGGTGTCAATTTTCAAGTATCAAAATTATTACAGATTCTGCTCGCAGAAATCCAAGTATAACCCGACCGTAATTCAAAACCCGCGTATGAATAATAAATACCTTATTAGTAAATCAATAAATTATCGAATCGACATGAAAAATGCTTATATCAAAAATAATACAATTAAAAAAAACAAAAACGGAAGTCGTAGAATTGAATGAGTAAGCGTTTACATAACGAGATTATGTATCATTTTTTCATGTTAACGGACAAGTTTTCGCGGTTCATGATTTCAAAAAATAATTTTCTCTTTTTAACTGAAGTACAAACGTGAATTTCTTTCCGAGTATTTATTCTTCGAAGCAATACCGAAGTAGATAACAAATAGGTTTGCGAGGAAATGTTTTGTGTAAACGACGAGCAACTTTTCCAAGTTGCTGAAACGGCGGAATTCATTATTTTGTGCGAAGGGGGCGGGAAAATCATCAACTCCGTTAGGGGAAGATAGCGTAAAAGCGAAAATAGCGGTGGCAGTCGACAATTGTGCAGTAGCGGATATGTGCACGATGAAAAGGATAATGGCGAAGGAAAAGGGACACGGGAACGAGGGAAATTTAAATAACACAACGGGGCAAGGTAATAATTTACAGCACACACCCTGTACGCAGACAATAGCATTAATGTTGTCGGTCGACCGATGCATTATAACGTATAGGGTGACGCCTAGATAGTCCAGTTCATCATGTGACCAAAATACCGGTTCAGTTTTAATTTTATTCTCCTACGGTGTCCAATTATGATAATAGCCGCGTCCATCCCTTAGGCTTGTAGGAGGATACGCGCAGATGCGATTGTTTTTATCAAACAGCTGTTCATTATTATGCAAACAGTATTATAGCGAGTCTATGTACGTAGCCAACACAACATTCATTAAGACATATAGTGTCCCACGTGTCTAATAAACGGGCAAAGAGACGGGTATTTATTTCCACCTGCGAATTAAAAAGCTAAAGGCAAGCATAAAAAACAAAGGACTTCCGATGCGGTATGTTTTCGACGTTGGGTTTTTGCTACGACCGTTACTTCGTAATTAATTGATACCAATTACCTTTTAGCGTGTAAGATTGAACCGTCCAGTTTTGTTGTTGTTCGAAACATTCCATCCGAAACAATTGGAAGATGATGCGTATTATTAGATTTGCAAATCGAGCGAAATGAGAAATGGCGAATTCCCAGATCGCTGTAATGTGATAGATAAGCGTTGAAAATGACAACTAATAATAAACCGCGGTAGATGACAAATTAAATTGCGGCGCAATAAGCCAACGCGAAGTGCACACTAAGCGTATTGTCTTCTGAATTTCAAAATGCAAAATTAAACATTTACTTATGTAAACAGAATATAATCATTTTCATATCTGGGCAAAATAAAATGTAAGAATTCATATGAGAACGACCGAATCTACAAACGCACCAAATAAACACTGCTTACGAAAAAATCCGGCTGAATAAATTCCACAGTAGTCAAAAATATATATCTCATAAAACGGGATGATGATGTCGCGGAGGCGATCCCAGTTATAAAAAAATTCACAATTGTCCCAAGAACACACTCTTAAAAAAATATCTATTGATAAAATTTTAGGCCTGTGTATTTTCATCACATTATCCATACAGTCTTGGCGTCCAATGGGCCCACTGTGGTTAGGCGGCACGCTAAGAACCATGACGACTACACTGCATCGTGGTGATATCCGTACACCAAACTCACCGATTTAAAAACGTATATGCATATAAATTCAATACAGTCGTTCTATTTCGTGGGCACGACTTGAGCTATAATGGGTGTTCGCGGAGACAAGTCGCTGCTCAAACAGCGAACATCACTACTTGATATTTTATATGTTTGTGTTCCCAAGAAAGTGTCCAGTGTCTCGCTAGCGATTTTCAAACGGACACCAACACGACTTGATAAGATGACCCCAATTATATTACACAGCTATCGACGATTCTCATGAATTCCTGGTACTGAAATTTTATTTTTTCTCTGAAACTTTGAAAACCAAATCTTAAGACAACTTGTGATGTTTTTACGTTAGAAAATTGACTTTTTTTTTTTCGAGAATACGATTTTAAAATTGTAATTAAATATCAAACGAAATTTCGATAATTTTCACTAACTAGCTTAGGATCTCATTAATGAGAGGGTGGTGGTAACGCACAAGAATAATTTTGTCAACCCGATAAACGCGGTACTGTTTTTGTCGTAATAGGTTTCAATCCTAACGACACACTGTAATTTCACTATTGTAACCATTAAATCTATTGTTAAGCGTTTAATGGCAGTTGCATGTTGATGATAAAATTTCGTTTGAAATCAAAGAGTAATTAGTTGATCTGTTTCTGAAGAATCCTTAAGATTTCTGATCATGTCTGAATATGCGTGTGATTTTTTAGAACCTGAACAACAAAATCGAAATTAGTATGCCATTTCTATCTTTGCTCGTTAATATCGAAAGATTACAATGATAAAAAAAAAACGAAAAATCACGTGGGAACATTTGTGTATTTTTCACGTTACATAATACAACGGGCAATTAAATTTTAATGTATGCATCATCACATTTACCTAGTTAGCAATTATAGTTGTAATGCATTTATTATGTACCACGAGTACCGATTGGGCATACGACCTTCGCCGTTTAGGACTTGTCAAAACTACAAAGATGTGAATTTAGCAGTTCCGAACATTTATTGTTACCAGCAAAGCATGTGGACAACGTCGATGCCAATAGCTATCTCGTTATTAATTAGTCGGTCCGTGTTGATTGGAATTTAGTTTACATGTAAAACTTTGTTGCTATCGACTGCTGCTTTTTGTTCGAAACAAAACGATTTTTTTTTTTTATCGAATGTCCAACACTGGCGTACTGAATTCAAATGGTATATAAACAATCGTTTATGAGTTCAAGTAAATCGATTCATTTTTTATTGTTATTGGGGCCATACATCAACGGCTAACTTTTGAACTGATATTTACAAGACGTGTGAGTTTGTACGATATTTTGCGTGACCATAAAACAATAATAACAAAGTACACGCGATTCTTCCGCCTACGGTGTGATCGTGTGCCTCGACATTATTATTATCACTCGTCAATACATAATATATGGCCTTTTTATTTACAAGAACTTCTGGTATTTCATTTCCAATTATTTTAACGATCCCGATACAATATGCGTGCTCTTTTTTTTTTAAACAACAATCCAGGTGCTTTTGGCATGTAATCACTTTAATATCGAGTGTTAGGACCACTGCGCATACATGTACCTATACGTCAATTAAAACAAGTTGAACTAAAATTTTAGTCCGGAACGACAAATCGAAATTCAAATCAAAAAAATTAACGTTACAGTCATTTACACAATAAGAGAAATTTGCAACAAAATCGATTATATTTTATTAGTTATTGTATTTTTTAGTAATTCGATGACGAAGACGGCTAGGTAATTAATTTGCTCCAATGAAGTCATCGAAGGTTTACTGTACTATAAAAACGCAATGCGATATTGCTGTTTGTTGCACCGAAATATCACAGCTCGTTTTAAAAGTATAGGATATCTGACTAATAGCTGTCATGGGCGTATTCGTGGAGGTGTATTGGTTTCATATCCAATAACAATTATTTGGCGAAAATACAATTTATTTCCTTTTAGAAAGAAAAGTGAAAAAATGTCGTTATGTATATCTCCTCCCCTCCCCACTCAAAACGAAAACCCAATTACTCTACTTCGCAATTTGTTATCGAGTATATTAAATTTATCAAGTCAAAAACATATTTCTGTAATGTGAACTCTATTGAAAAAAAACCCGAGCACAGTGAGATACTTGGGACGAGTATAGACAATATCTGAGAGTGATTAAAATCACTATACATAAAAATAGCTTCGACGCGAACTGTTAAATTTCATAATTTTTATATTTGTAATTTTACAAATTCCACTCGAATATTAAACGCTTGTTGAATTATTTGCTTAACTGAAAATAACGTTTTTCTTTTGCTCTGACAACCGATTTGTCATAGTAAAACAATGTTTTGCTACGATTAATTGTCAGAATAAATATATTTTTATTAAAATTGTATAGTCCACTCCAAAAGCTTTAATTAGATCTAAGTTAGATGTTGTCGATCTTCCGGAACATTTTCAAAATAGTTAAAATAAAATTGTCAAGCGTCGGTGTACGAAAAAAATTGTTGAAAATGTCATTTTTCTCGGTACCATAATTTTCAGATATTTTTAAAAACGTTTGAAATTGTGAGAGTTTGTTCAAACTTTCAATGCTGATTAGTTCAACTAGAAAAAAGTCAGGTTATTTTGAAGTATTGATCATTAAAATCGGCCCAGTGAGATCTGAGAATTTTCATTGATAGACATAAAAAAACACACACTATCACAAACTAATACTTTCTCAGCATCTCATCAAAACTAACAGTGATAAGCTTTTAAATTATACCGATTTGATTAAAAAAAAATTATTTACTAATTAATTATTTTTTTCTTATGATTTATCTCGTGTTTTCATAATAAACCTCAAATACCATAAATGTATTTTTTTAATTAATAGGATTTGTCTACTCTTTATTAATAACTTTTACACGTGTCAAATAAGCCTAAAACAAAATTTTATCATTATTAAATTTTTGCTATAGGATCAAAAAACTAGCATTATTATTTATCTTAGAATTGCTTAGGTTAGCTATTCAAAGTATGAATATTGTATTGTTTGTTCTGTGAAAAATGATGGTACGCATCAGTAATGAATACAAACAAGATATAAAAATTTTGTGCCTTCGTTTTTTAAAATCAAATAAAACAATTACTGTCTGTTGCGTTGTAGTTCTTATGATGTTTTAACTGTTTTCATTTTTAGTCTTGGCGAATTACTAAGTATATAGTTGGAACACAAATTATCAATTAATTTTTTTTTTTTTGTGCAATCACTGCTGTGTTTGAGTTTTTAATTCAAGTTTCGATTCGCCTTAAAATAGTTAGATAATATTTTATAAATTACTGATCACTACATCATTTTAATTGCTACTTAGAATTCTTATAAAATTGTAATATTTTTCCATTAATATTAAAACGTAGAAATGAAAAGTTTTTTTTTTTTTAATTGTGTTAATAGATATGGCTTATGCTTAAGATAGAATTCTCATTTAATTAATCGCCGTCTAAATGTTTTCAATTTTTATTAATTGTATTTTAAGTTTTTATTACAAATACTAAACAGTAGTCACTGTAAGACACAAGACCGTATTAAAGCACAATCAAAATATCATATAAGTAAAGCAATTTATATTAGTTTATAATTTTATACTTAATATGTTTGTGCTACAGAAAACTTTGAGAAATCCTCGAAGACATAATTTATAGGTGCTATTATTATTGCTTTTTTGAATTATAGATTGGTTAATGTATAATTGTAAAAAAACATTCACTTTATATAACATCTAGCTACCAATAGATTATATGTATCTCTAAACCTAAGATTGAGGTTACTTAACATTCTAATCTATTTATAAATAAATCCTATAAGACTCCATGGCTCTTTACTTTGAATTAGAATTAGCTATTGTTAACATTACAAAATTCACAGACTCTTCTCGATATATTTTCGTTTTAAAATTTACGAACATACAATAAAACAACAATAAAAATTAGGTCAGAAAAAAACTGTGTTTTTATAAAAAAAATTTAGATTATGTTTAATTTTTTAATAACCGATAATTATATCTCGAGAGGGCTTGGGAACCCCTACTAGACAATATGCAGTTAGCATATTTTATGTATAAGGTTATTACAATAAAAAAAAACCTCATTAGATGAAAAAAGAATTATTCAGTTAGCATAATTGACTTTTCACCCCTCCGTGTTTTTTGGGTCGACTATTATTGTGTAGTGTTACTTTTCTCGATTCGTGATTACTACAGTGCCTAATCATATTATAATTATAAACTGTAGTTTATTTATTTTGAATAGCTCAGTGGATAACGGGCCGAATAGTACTGATAGATGTTCGCATTAATGACGGGCTCAAGTGTGTAGGCGTCCGTTGGTCGCCGTTATTGGACAGCTGCCTCGCTGTTCTCCGCACGACCTTTCTGGCAAGTGTCCAGTGTCCGCGTACATGAACCTGTGCTGATGGCTAATTTGCTGCTGATGTGCCAAATTGTCCAAAACGCCAGAAGAAAAACACACAAAGACGCAGTGCAACGTGATCACTTGAAACTAATCGCATAGTTTCAATATCACTGGAAATTAGCTAAATTATTTACTTTTCTTGATTGGCAAGTTCACTGCCGTGTTGTAAATATACGAGTAACACATGTAATCCTCGACGAGTTTAATTTTAGATAAGAAAAATTCAAAACTATCATAATACTAATTACTACTATATGTCCATTGAATTGACAACGTTATAAATAGACGTGTGATACATGCAATCAAATAGTTTTCTACTGTTTTAACGTAGCAAAAAACAGTTAATTATACGCTATTAAGATAATGAAATGTATTTAAATGTCTTATCAGACGACGTGACTGCTATATTATCAAGTTTTATATTATTATAATGACCGTCAATTAATGAACAACAGATAATTAGTTTTCGACATTATTTAATGTACAGTCAAAGAAACTAAGAATTACAATCGTTGGATATGATTGGTCAAATAGCAATAAATTACACCGCGTTCACGGAATATGAGTCAAAACACCACGTCAATGCCATTAAAAATACTTTTTTAACGGAATTTTAAATCAATCATTCTTCAATTAGCTAACAGAGATTAAATGTACGTACACTTAACTAACCTCTAACCTATTTAATTTTACCGATGTCTTTTTGATATTCGTATTTCATTTTTTAATAAATTATTAATGTTATTTGCAATTCTCCGCAAACATAATGACTACTTTATTTACTGAGAAAATAAACATATTTAATACCCGTTCTCGATTAAAAATTAAAATTTAATAAACTTAATGACAGTTTCAGCGTAAAACGTTACTCTTCTTAACAATCTCGAAGATTGATATTGTACTACAAGCAACCTGTTCTAGTTTCATGTCAATATTTTGGAACAAAACTAAACAAAAAACAAGTGGCATTGTTACGGACAATAAAGTTTTATCTGTGTTCCGTTCCATTTATATGTTTCCTTGTTGAGCCCCTCTTCTTATTTCTTTTTTACTAAATAATAACACACAGTTATAGTCTAAGAAATCGGGTTTCACTCCACAATGATTACACCCCATTTTAACTCCCTACCGACCCTTATATATTACAACTCTGTTCCGTAAAACCATCTGACAGACAAAGAGAGCTGTATATCAGGTACACTGAAACCTTCGAGCTCTTCAGGTACAAAATAATACTACTAATTACGACGGCGGTCACTGATATTAAGGGTGTGGTACTATCTAGTTTTAACCGTTTTTAACCGCACCTTACTCGCCAAGGTTCTCATTATTATAACCACCGATTACTCTCTCGAAAACCTTTGTTTTTATACAAATAAAAAATCAATCACCAGCCATCCCACGGGGCTTGGTCGATATTTAACGGACGTTTTCAAAACCAATTCTAATAAATATAAATCAATGTAACATTTAGCGGCTATATTCCTACATCTCACAAAAAATATATTTTTATTTCTATACTTTGCGTATGTGAATTGATATTAACGGTCTCATTGGAATATTATTTTAGACGTTCCTAAAATTACTTTACATAAGTCGTTCAAATACTGTGAAAGAGAAACAAAAAGCAAACGAACCATTAAGGTAAGTTTATAACGAGTAAATCAAAAACATATCTACAAGATAATCTTCTATTCCGGTTACACACGAATAACAATGTTTTTAAAAAAATGTTACTAGGAGTTTATTTGATTCGACGAAAATAATCTTCACTTTTATATTAAAATTAATTTAGTTTAGAATTGTCCATAGATTTGATTATAAATAGGGGATTAGTCCCAGTCTTAAGATACTTGACTTTCTTGTTAAAATTAAGGAATATTAGCTTTTAAATTTTACTACGAAACAGCAATAAAATTACACACTCTTTATTCATAAAAAAAAATTTCAAATCCCCGAGACTACATTCATTTTGACTACTAAAACGAAAGTACATTAGATACAATATCATACTATATTAAATCTAGTATACTATACACTTTACTATTGAGTGCAGTTGATTGCACAGTATGATTCAGATACATAATTTAATGCAACGAGTAATTGGATAGCCAAACCCATACTTTTACAAATAGAAAACTTTTTTGCACTAATGTACAGCCATAAAAGTCTCAATATCCGTAATTGCCATTTTCAAAACCTATGCTATTAAATTTATTTGAAATAACCGATTTTATTTTATTTTTTTAATGGACGGTGTTTCATTATTTGATAAATTTTACATTATAATATTGTCGAATAAATGTCAGTATAATATTACTAAACTTCATAAAATACATGTTTTATTTATTATGATTTTTTAAATGATCCGCAATATTTAAGCGAGATCCAATAAATCACTAATTGATTGCCATTCCAAAAAAAATGTAAGCATCAATGAATAAAAAACACTTTATAAATTACTGTTACATTATTTTCTATGAGCGATTTAATGAACAATATTGTATTAGGCAATAACAAATAACTTGTTCTCCGAAACCTTTAAACTACACCTTAGCTCGTTTATTTGGTTTGTTAAAAATCGTTTTTTATTTTAATATGCCGTCACTGACGTGCAAGAAAAATGTACATATTGCATGTACAATTTTTCTCGTTCTAAATGGCTGTCGATTTCTCAAAACGAGCCCTCCTCTTGTCGACTGTGACAGTAGCGGAAAAGGGTTTAGGTGTATAGAACGAGTGAAATCCTTATCTAATGAAAGATAATGCGTAATTGCATTTGCACGCAAATAGGGTGCGAATTAGTAGGTAAAATCGCAACCGGTAAAGTGCGACGTTTTCACTGGCCGTCAATTAAAAACTGTGGCAACACTAATGGCTCGTTATCATCAATCAACGTCTCCAGGTGCCCGCTAATTTTCGGCACGTGTTCGTTCTTGTGAATATAATTATTGAACTGTTACTCTTCGACGTTACTTGGTTGAATTTTTTTAGTTATCGGATGAGAAGAAAAATCGTTTTGTTACCAAACGAGGGTAAGCAAATGATATGGTGTGCCATTAGTTCGTGTGTGTTTAATAACGTAATACTGTTCAGGGTACTCATACTCGACTAGGGTGAACATTGAAAGTCCTTCGTCACTCTCAGTATGCACGAAACGACACATTGGGAATATGTGCATGCCCTTCGTCAGCAGTTTACTGGTTTCAATTTATTTTCCAGTCACTTTACCTCTTTAAGCGTTTGATTAATATGTTTTTTCCCATTGAAAGTTTGTGCTCGTGTCTGTACACGTTTGTCGTACGAAGCGTGTGGACCAAGTCTTTTGTCAATGACTACACACACACACACACAAACACACTCACACACACACAAATACCACTTACATGAATAAATTCGTGTGCTGTACGGACCGCATTAAGCGCGCGCTCAAAATTTGTCACCCATCATATCCTTTTTCTTTGAATGGTAACAATATGATTTTTGCCATGTGTGCACTCATTACTTTATACGACCGATACTTTTATAGAGTACAATCCTTTATCAATAGAAAAATATGATACTTGGCCATTTGTTCGGAACCGGAGCGCGTGTGCTGCTAAACCTTTATTGTATGCGCCCAGCACATTGCACTAACATAAAGCAAACGGATGCAGCCGTCGATATTTCAAAATAAAAAAAATCAAGTAGGTAGACGAGATATCAAGAGCTAATACCAAGTAACAAAATTCAGTTACCAATCATGTTTTTGGTATTTAAATATATATTTATTTATTAATAACCTATGCAAGTCTAATTTTTCTAACTTAATATACTTTTATATCACTAGAATAATAAATTATACATTTGAAATTATTCAGAACAACTTGCATTAAACATATTTGATACATTTTACTTTTAATATATACTTTTATATAAGATTTTTAAGAGGAAATAATCTATCTGTAGATTTTCTATCAGCTAGAAAAGTTTTTGGTGTTTAAAATACACCACTAGCACTTTATATATGTTTATTTCAGATAATAATGCTAAGTAAAAAATCCTCTATAGTACTTTACAGCTATTTTGGTATTCAAAATAACATATAATTATACGAAACAGGATAAATTATACGTGATGGGACTGGTTGCATATAAGTAGAAAGGCACTATACGGTGTAATAGTAATTTCACATCAAATCGCATAAAACAAGTATTATGCTAACTTTTTTTACAAGAACATATTATTACTATTTAAACTACTTTTAAAATATATATTCGCGCAACGTATAATTACAGCAAATCATTCTTGAGTTTTATCCTTAAGTATCTTAGAAAAGAGAAAAATTGAACATATATTTACCTTCTACCTAGAAACTCTTTATAAAATTAAGTACAAATTTTTTTTTATCAAAATTTAAACATGCTTTTTTTATTTATCTAACAGTATAATTAAAAACACAAGATAAACAAGTTAAATTATTACAAAGTATTATCAAATTTCATTATTATGTATTTTAGAATATAGAAAAATCGAACATACATTTACCTTTTACGAAGTAACTAATTAGCTTGGAAAATGATACACTAGAAACTACATTTAATGCATTAAAATCATTTATTTCTTTATAAACTAAATTTCTCTGCAAAAATGAATTCAAAATTTTTAAAACTACTGCAAAAAATGCACCAATCATTTATATATTTATAGTCTTTGATGTATGAATCGAATTTTTTGCTGAACGAATTATTCACTAGAGAAATAAGAAAAAATTATGAAAATGCTACAAAATATGTTCCTAATAATAAGTAAAATTCTGTTTGAAAACGTTGTACAGGAATTTCTATCAACTCTTTCAATTCAAAACTGTAAAAATATATTAAATTATCTGTTTAAACATTAAATTTATTTTTGAATTTTTACAAAACATTTTCTATTGCAATAGTCTTGTAAAAATAATAAATTAGTTAATTTGATTTTATTGGCCTCTAGGGAATGTTTTTACAAGACAACTATAAATATTAAACTGATTACGTTAAGTTCTATAAGTAATATGCTGTACTACAAAACTAAATGAACTAATTCGTCTTTATATATACCCCAAGAAGTTTTTTACGATCAATGAAATTTAATAGTTTTACTCTTTTCTTCTTTTTCAAAGTATACGAGTTTGTTTTACTATTTCAATGAGAACTTCAACGCATCGGCTATTAACTTTATCGTTGAAAAATCTAAGAAAAATAAGTACAAGACATAAGTAGTTGAATTACTTTAGTTTCTACACTTTTCTTTATTATATTTAACGCTTCATTAGTATGCATTCTTGTTCTTGCTGTTATTCTTAGATTTAATGATATAAACATAAAATAAAGGTATCTTTAATAATGAAACTCGATTACTTTAAAAATCAACAGATTAAATTAAAAAAAACCTTTCAGTTGTTTAAAAATAAATATAAGAATTCGTGCCCGTTGATTTTGCCCCAAACACAATTTCCATATGAATTTTCGTTAACTATTATGATTATAATTTTTAACAATACGACTTGGGTGAATAGAATGATTGGTTTATCATAAACCACTTGAATACTCTCAAAATAAATATAATATTGAATAAAAATGTTGATTTTTCTTAGTTGAATATATATTTCTTGATTTATCAGCTAATAATTACTTTTTAGAATCATCTTGGATAAGAGGTATCAACTTTATTTTTTTTAAAGGCAATATGCATGTTTAAATATCTTATAAAATAGAAAATAATATAATTAAGAAAATTACTGGTCGATAACAGTGCATTTTTATACATAAGCGGGAGGAAGAGTACGGCTGGGGAATGACTAGTGATAAAATAACAGCACCCACTTGTCACCTCCAGTCATTACTTTAAACTGTTAATAACCTCTGAATTATTGGCCCAAAAGTTGTTATCGACCAGTCTTTCACTTATTTATTAGTTTATTTTCTATTTTATAAGCATGTTATATATGTATATTGTCATTAAAAAAAATAAAGTTAATATCCCTTTAAGTTATAAGGGATGACATTAAAAGTAATTATTAGCTGATAAACCGACAAATAAAAAAATAAAAGGAACAAAAAATTATCCAATATTTTGTTTATTTTGCCAATAATCAAGTGGTTTATGAATAACCAATTAATTTGTATATACAAAGTGATGAAGTTTGACAAGACACTCAATTTTTCAATAATTATTGAAATTGTTTTATTTTTGTAATAAAGAAAATGATTTGATTAAAAATAAACTACAATATTATGTAGTCAAATAAATTTATTTTTATCCCTTAAGGAATAAAAAATGTCAACTTTAATTATCTTAAATAGGAACCATTTTTTTTTGTACTTGATAATATGATAAGAAAAAATTATAAACAGTTTTTTTCCTAGAACTTATTTTACCTGGTCAATCGCTCTTCTTGAAAGCATGTTAAAGTTTGCGAAATTTGAGATTAATTTGTTAATGATATTTCAATTGACACAAGTCTCCATTTTGTCCCATAAATTAGCTTTTACTGACTAAGTAGTATCCAACATACAGAAATCTTTAATAATTAATTTCTGTCACATACTCATGTGTTCATCGCAAGTTTACTATTGTACGTTATCGGTGCGGACAATTTTTATTATAAACTATCATATAAAATAACTTATGGTTAATTGAAACAAATTATTGTTGCCTCCAGCATTAAGAAAATCAAATTAATGA